TTAGATATTATAGCTATGCTTGGCTTAGTGAATCTCCAAATTATGTTGCACCACAAAGATGTAATAATAGTTTTGAGTATGCTAACTTGAATTTGCTATGGTCATGTAGACATATTTTATTTGGTTATTTTGAAGCAGGCATTGGTATTTTCCGTTTTTTAACGGTTTTTTAACATTTTGTATGAAATATTGATATTGACAATATATGTGATAACTGAGAAGGATTAATTAATGCTAATATTGGAGTGTTGTTAATAAATAATAATTTTCATATATGATAAAGCATTTCTGTTATAATGTTTGTTTTTCTTTTGTCATTATAAGGTTTCTTTGCTGACGTTTATGTATATAATATCAGACTTCACCTAGTGATGTCTTTAGTTGAAAATAATTGAAATTATACATTTTATATGAATAATTTATTGGAGAGAATAATGTGATGCCTTTAATAGGCAATTAATTGTTGAAGATACCAGGTTCACTATAGAGCCAAAAGTTGCTGATTCTCAATATCACTATTTCGCCTTCCCTTTATCTTAGCATAACCTTAAAGATATTGGATAATTTTAAGAGAAAAAGGAGCAGAAGAGCAGCATGTATGTAATGAGCTGCAAATTAATGCATTTTAGTATAACATGATCTCCCATTTTTCTGCAGGTGGGCCTCATATTACGTGCCATGGGTTTTGACAACGCTACTCGCATCTACCTTGCTGCTGGTCAACTTTTTGGTGGGCATTGTTTCATGAAGCCTTTCAGTAAGGCTTCGTTTGGGATGGCTTTTTTACTGCTTCTTAAAGTAGCTTTTTAGTACAAAAAATTTAGGCTTCGTTTGGGATGGCTTTCTTACTACTTCTTAAAGCAGCTTTCTATTACAAAAATTTTAATTTTTATATTAGAAAATTTGCTTCAGGAAGCAGTACGAAAGCCGTCCCAAATGAAGCCCTAGGCTTCATTGGCTTCATTTGGGACGGCTTTTTTCCTGCTTCTTAAAGCAGCCTCTTAGTAAAAAAATTTTAATTTTTATACTAGGAAGCTGCTTTAAGAAGTAGTACGAAAGCCGTCTCAAACGAAGCTGCTTTAATGACATTGTACAATATATTTCATGATGAACATTGCCAAATATCTGTCTCATCCTTGTTGTGATTTTTATAGCTTGTGGCCTCTCACAACACAAATTTTCATTATCTTATCCTAGTATGATTTTGTCGGCTTTGATAGTTATAAAAAATGCTGCTTAGTTTGAAATACAAAGTAACTTTTCTAGAAATTTATTCTTGATAACAATTTGAAAATTTTAGAATTTATGAAGATCAAGAAGAATGAGGTTTCTTATAGATGCAAACCCTCATGATTAAAGGCTTCAACTGTTAATTCATTGTGTTATGTATTAGTAGATTGATTGTATTTAATTTTGGATTTGGGTTATGGTTGGAGGTCAATGCAATTAGGATCTTATGATTATGCCATCTCTAGTAAATGTGGTAGTCCTAGTTTATTGACATGAAGTGCTAGAAGTTCACATCGTCCAATGAGTTTGATTAGCAACCCATTCTTCCAGAGTAGTAGTATGATCAAGTTGTTTATTCTATTTAATGAGATTTGGTGATCTAGACTGGAACTGTTTCAAGAAATCATCTTCCAGAATTTATGTTTTATTATTATCTAAAAGCATTTTTAGTTATAGGAAAACACATTTATTAAAATATATGACTTGTAATAATAAAATTGCATTTGGTCAATGATGGTCGTAGGATTGTAGTTAGGCCAGAACGATTGGGCAAACATAATCAAATGAAAATAGTTGAAGGACTATAGTCTAGGGGCGATGGTCAGAGGATCTAATTTGAATGATGGTAGTGGTATGACTATAACTAGTAGTTAAAGGGTGGAGGTTCGATGGTGATAGTTGAATAACTATGGGTTGGATGATAGTGGTCGAATAATGATAGTTCAATGATGATGGTCAATAATGATAATATGATGGTGTTGGTTGGACAATGGTGGTTTAAAGATAGTAATCGTATAGTACTAGTCCAATGGTGATATTTGGATAATAATAATCATCTTTATATGGAGAGTGATAGCCTATTTATATTTTTTTTTAGAGTTACATACTCCTTAAGTATAGCCAAAATATGAAACACTCAATCGGACGACTCATATTGATTCCCTTAATTATATATTATTGTTTACTATTTAAGTACCTTAATGATATATAATTTACACGTTTGTTGGCTTGTTGGATTTATCTCGTAAAATGCTCGGTTTGGCTATAACTATACAAGATTTTTAAGATAATTTGAATTAATGTCTCATAGTTCTAAGAAGTGCTTAATCTTGGCTCATTTGGACTTAGATTGAATCTCTTTTAATGTCATTGGGTTTATCTCATCTTGACGTTCAAGTTGACTCTAAATTTGTTGAAATTAAAATTTGGATGATCTTGAATTTGATTTAAAAATTTTCAATTTGAAATATGCATCGAAATTTGTGCTTCTTAAGTTGATTTTTGATGACATGTCAAATACTAAAATGATAAGCTCTCTTTCTATCCTCATAATAATGAAAATTTATATCATGGAAGCATATTATTCAATAAGAAGTTGTTATTTTTTCTACATTAATTAACTCCATTCTTTTGTACATTAAACTTTGAAAACAAAGTTCTAATAAAAAAAAATAGAAATATCTTTTAGTTCAAATTGAGACCACGAAATAAATAATCAAATAGGATTGAATTGTTAATTATTTCAAATTTGACTATATATCTACAAAGATTTGGTTCAATATTAGCTTATGGAACTAATGTACATAGCTGACGATATCAAATCGTCGATTCTCCGACCATGCATCATAATCATAATTACTTCTAAGATCAAAAGATACATTTAATTATATAAAAAAAAAACAACTAAGCAGGGTGCCTCACACTCAACACTTTGTTTTAATAAGGATGATGTGGACAACTCTCCTTGGCCTATTGGTTGAGAGCTTAGGCTTCCAACTAAGAGGTCCAAAGTTCGAGTCTTTGTATATGCGTTGTATGTGTGAGTTTGCCTTAAATGGCCTAATTGTCCCAAAAAAAAAAATAAGGATGATGTCAAAGTTGAAAATTTAATATTGGTTTTATTTGGGATAGCTCTTTCACTGTTTTGTAAAGCTGCTGTAGAGAAAATCACTTTTTAAAGATGTTGTAAAAAAACAGTTTTTTAGTATAATTTATTTTTTAAACATAAAAAAAAAAAACAACTGTCAATAAAAATCTGAAAAACAAAGCAATAAGAAAGTTGTCCCAAATGAAACTATAAGTTGATTATTTGTCTGCAAGAAGGATTTAGTAAATCATGTAAATTTTAATTTATTAAATTGTGATATTTTTAAATTCTGAAAATTATTTAATATGATGAAAAGGTTAAATTCAATCAAATTTTAATAAACTATTTTGCTATTGACTTCATATCAAAATAAGATTTTAATAATATCAAAATGTTTATTAATACTTATAATTGATAAAGATTAATTAATAAAATTTATTTATTTATATTGATTTATATTATTGAATATTATTAATTATAGTTTAATTTTAATAGTTATAATTAAATTATATTTATTATATTTTAATATCATATTTAATTATTATTTAACAAAATATTAAAATAATTAAAAAAAATTATTTAACATGTACCTTAAATTTAAATTTCAATCATCACCTAAATTTTTTTTTTTATTACTCAATTGGTGGAAAAAGCAACAAAATAAGAGAAGTTGATAGGGAGCGAAAAAGAAGTTTGGAAAGAGAGACAATATTCTTCTCTGTCATTGTCTATGTATTCTTATAAGTTCTCTTATATTTGTTTTTCCTCGTCATCATTTCTTCGTTGCTGCTTTGGCTTAGTTTGAAATAGCATTTTGAAATAGGTTCTCAGCCCCCTTTGACGACGTCGAATCAAACGTTACGGTGGGAGCTCGCCGCGAAGGTAAATATCTTTCTCACTTTTGGTGTGCTTCTTAGGCTAAATCTCGTAAATCGTACGAACTATCGGAGTTACTAAATTCGGAATTTAAGCCAAAAACGTATAAGAAATGGGATTTAAGATTATGTAGGATTTAAAGATGTCATTTTTACAATTTGGTTGAATTTAGGAAATCCTACTCAAATTTGCATCTAGACGGCCCCACAAGGTTTGCTCTAAGAAGGTATTTTAAAATTATTATGACTTACATTTACTATTGAAATGCCCAACACTGAGATAAAAATCAGCCCTAGGCCCCCGGTGGTGGGGTTACACCGCCGAGCTCCGACTCATCCTCTTCATTCATGACAAAAATTTTAATAGCAGTACGCGTCTAAACTTATCCCGCGGTTCATGTTTGTTACCTTGGATCGTTGCCTTCCCGTTACATCGTCGTTAGTTGTGGATATGTCCAACCTATTGGCAGGCTGAGGGCTAAGAGCATCTCCAATCAAAAAACTTATTTTCACTTCAAAATGTAGTAATATATCAAAATATAGTAACTTGTCTTCAACCAAACTCCATTTTTTAACACCATAAAAAGAATATTCCTAGTATATTCTTTCTCATACTTCATTTTATATATTTTTACTAATAAATTTTGTTATCAAAATTTTGAATTAAATCTATTATAATTATTAAAATAATATTTAATGTTGTAATATCTTAATTTTTATTTTAATTTTGTATCTTAAACTAATTAATTAGGTAAAAAATATTTAAATTTAAAAAAAAAAACAAGATATTTTTTTATTTATTATTTTTTAATTATTAATATTTTTTTTTTAAATTTGGATATTTAAAACTAATAATTAATTTTCGAATTAAAAATAAATAAATAGCTTTAAATAGTGATTAATAATTTTAATTAATTTATTTAATTTATGCACTAAATTACAATTAACTATTTAATTAATTTACTTAAGTATTAATAATGTAAATTATATTAATTAAGTTAATCAATAATAACTTAGAGGCGTCTAGGGTTTGCCTTTCATCTTCTCTTTTCGTCATTGCTGTCGGCTCCGTTGCCTTTGCAGGAGGTGTAGAGATTGCAGGCGTCGCTTCTTTGGCTCCTTCGTGGCTGTTCGACTTCGCTCCTCCGACGACTTCAACCCGGATCGGAAGTTACGACATTTTGATCGGAAGCAAGAATGGGAGCTCGCTGGCTGTGAAGGTAACTTTCTCCCTTTCGCGCGCTTCTTCGGATAAATCCCGCTCGGATTTACTAAATCCGGCTACCCCTTGGATTTACTAAATCCCGGATTTAAGCTGTAAATCCGTAAATCCGGGATTTACTGAATCCCGGGATTTAACGCGCGCACAAAAACTGTTTGGCTGGATTTAGCGCAAATCCGACTTAAATCCCGCTGTAAATCCGATACCAAACAGCCCCTAAAGTATGAAGTTCCATTGGAGATGCCCTAAGGGCAGCGGCCTGAGAAGAGCACAAACGAGAACCCTACTTGGAGATTTCTAGGGTTATAATTTCCTTCCGCCAACATTTTGTGAGATTCGGAGATTTTGATGCCATGAAGAGGTACTATCAATCCCGAATCTTTATAATTTCGTCCTCTTTTTTCTGCGCCACCCCAGAAATCTAAATGATTTTTTAATCAACTACGTGTTATTTGAAGCGGCTGGGGGAGGAGAGGAGCGAGGCAGCCGAAGCAGCTCGGCGGTGGGCTGAAAGGGACGGCGGGTTGGTTGTCTGTGGTGATGCTTGTTCTGCTGATCTGCACCATCTTGCTTTTCTTGAGGATCTGGCGTTCAAGTCCTTCCAGTCGGATAAAGGTTTGGTTTCGCTGCTTCATTTTTTAACAATTTTTTTCCTTATAATTATTATACTGGTTTGGTTCTTGAATTATATTGGCGGTATGCTTGGCAGAGAAATTTTACTTATAGCTAAAATCAAGATTATCCTTTCATGTTTCTTCTTCATTGGGCTTCTTTGATTCTAGAGCAATAGTTAGCTTTCTTAGAACTTGCTAGAAACAGCTGGTTTGTTGCTGCTTAACAAGTTGGAAGGCCAACTTGGTTAGGTACTTCTAGTTATTTTACTCTTGCAATCTCTTTATAACTCAAAGGGCAATTCCACATGAGCTACGATTCATTAGCTACTTGGATAGTTGGATATGTACATCTTATACTGGGGAATTGTTGCTGTTGAGCATTATCTAAATATGATTGGGATGTATGAGTAGCATGAGTTCGTGGAAACCATAGTTCATTGTTATTTGATGGATTAAAAAGCCTCATATTCTTAAATAATTGGTTCTTGTGGGATCAAACTTGCCTTCTCTTGGGTGTTTTAGTCAAGATTTATTGTTGCGCCTTTTTCCTCAAAGAGAAGGGGATAATGGATTTCAGGAGATTTTAAGTTAGTTTTGATAGGCATGAAGCATAAAAAGGATGGTCTTTGCTTATGGAATAAACAATATCCTACTTCTAAATCATTTTTCCAAAACAAAAAGTGTTGGTCTTAATCAAAATAAAAATTCATTAGAATTAAAATTTCTTTTGGTTCTAAAGACTTATGATGTACAACATTATGAAGTTTTGTCATGCTATTTCAACCAGCCATTTTAAATTTTTATACTTGATCTACAACTACTTGACTATAAAATTCAATGAATTTTTTTCTCATAAAATTTTGGATATTTAAAAAGAAAATGTACAAGTTATCCCACCATAACAAAGATGCATTTTTCATCATGTGCACATCTTGGGAATTGCAATCTTTGTGATATAGTGTGAACAATAGAAAAGTAGATGTAACAAAGAAATTTTGAGAAGAGTGGGAGCAAAAAACTAAGAAAGAAGAAACCCAATTATTGCTCAAGCTATTGATGTTGAAACTTTAAAGCATAGAGGGATAGATTCTCAACATCCATGTTACTAGTCATGAAATTTATTTCATTTAATAAACATAGTCGGATTATTATTGGTTTTGAAAAGATCATTTTATAGTAGGCTATCAAATTATAGAACTTCTAAAATACCCTTGACAAATAAAAATACTATAATTATTGAACATCTTAATTTTTTAAATATCTTTAAATGTACTTAAAGTGCTCATTAGCTTGTTAATCTTGGTTGTTATATTGGATGATAGAAGTCAAACAGTAGCTTATTTGCATACATCTTCATGTATTCTCGATATGATACATCTTTTTAAGTTGTCTCCATTGTGACCTAGAGGTCATAGGTTCAATTCATAAAATTAGTCTCTTTACAATGTAGAGGTAAGGTTGTGTAGATTAACCTCTCATCAAACCCTACATTGGTTGGAGCTTCATGCAATGATATGTTTTTTACGTTACATTTTTTTATTAGGAATAGAAGCCCAACCATCAATTACTATCCAAGGGATCATTATTAGGCTCATTCCCCTAAATTGTAGGTGGCATATGACTCCATCTTAATAGAAAATATATAATATTGTGCATTGAATTGACTTTTTTTTCATCATAATATTACTTTTAAAATATCTCATCTGTGCTAGTTTAAGCTAGTGCCACGTTCTATCTTGATGCTTTTCTACCTTTGTGCAAGGATAGGTACAACTCATGTGTTCAATGCTAAGTAAAGGATAAACATGTCCATAACTCATGTTACATTGGCTAAACTTTTGTATATATAGTGTTTTATATAGTTAATTTTTTGATAAGTAATGCTTTTAGTATGAATTTTTATAGAATGGGTGATGGCTAAGAGTGAGTTTATTATTATTATTTTTTAAGTTTGTTGGCTTGAGTCAACCTTACAAAAAATTTGAGTATATGAATTAATCAATATCTATTGTTTCCTGGATGATGGTGCTTTTGAGTAATAATTATGGTGAAAGCACCCCGAAGTTTGCTCTTTTTCATCCATTACATTCCTCTAGTTACCAAACTTTAGTCATACTCTATTATAGATTAAAAATCAATCCACTTATTTTTGGTTAGCAAAAGTTTCCTGGAAATCATCCCACCAAACCCTTCTTTAAATGGAAAAAGAGGTAGTAATATTGAATTATCAATGACAACATTTCATTATGAAATCATATACCATGCGGGTGGAGCGATTATCAGATATGGTATTGGAGGGGAACTTCATGAAGGGGTTGAAGGCAGAGATCCGAGCTACAGTTAAAGTTCAAATGCCTAGTGACTTGGGGGAGGCCTTGAAGTTGGCACAACTGGTGGAAAATCAGAAGAATATGGAGAAAGGAGCGAGGAGCGGCAGCTCAGGAGGCTCTTATAAGACCACGAACACTCTTCTAGCATCCAAGCAGCCTGCCTTAGGCAACATTAATGAGACCACCAGGGAGAAGCCAGTAGGAGGAGTGGGGAAAATTTCAAGAGGCTGACAGAGAAGGAGATGCAGGAGAAGAGATCAAAGGGTTGTGTTTCAGGTGCGAGGAGAAGTATACGCCAGGGCATCGGTGCAAAGACCGAACTCTTCAGGTTCTCACCGTCTGCGATGACGAAGGAAACTGAGGAGGGAGGTGAGGAGGAGATGGAGGAAGAGCTACACTTGGATCTGGCTGAGGTTTTCCTGAACTCAGTGGTAGGATTCACTACGAATCATACCATGAATGTGAAGGGGGAGATAGAGGGCAGAGAGGTGGAGGTGCTAATTGATAGTGGGGCTACTCACAATTTCATTTTCACTCAAACCGTCGACCAATTGGGAGTGAAATTTGTGGACATCGGTTGTTATGGAGTGATGATGGGTACAGTGAAGGTGGAGAAAGGCCAGAGGATCTATAGAGGAGTGATGTTGACCATCCAGGAGATTCAGGTAAGGGAGGACTTTCTTCCACTAGAATTAGGAAGTACAGATGTCATCCTGGGGATGAAGTGGTTGCAAACTTTGGAGGAAACAAAAAACAATTGGGGAGCAGTCACGTTGGAATTAATGGTGGATGGGAGAAAGGTGGTTATAAGTGGAGATGCGGGGCTATCCAAAGCCATGACATCACTTAAGAACATGGTTAGGGACATGCAAGAGGTGGGGGAAGCTTATCGGGTGGGACTACACAAGCTGAATGTGATCATGATGGAGGGAAGGGATGTTTCTCTTTCAGGGCAACCCCTACTTCAGCAATTTGGTAAGTATTTTCTGCCACCTTAAGGATGACCCCCTCCACCGGAACATGAGCATATCTCCACCTTGAGGACAAGGTGGATCTTCGAGAGGGGAGTATTGTTAGACTGGTCCAGTGGACCTGTCCAGCCGGTCCATGCGGGACCGGCTCAGACGCGAACAAGGCGGAATTTTTCCACCCTCTGGGATGCCGCGCGAGCCACACGTCGTGCTGGAGCCAAATAGGAAAGAATTTTGGGATAATTAAGAGTGAAATTTGAATGTAGGGATTGTTTAGGGAATTCCTTTTGATTTGTATGCATTAAATAGTTTGTTTTCCTAGGGTTAGGGCATCTTGATTTTGGCTGAAATTTGAGATCTCTTAGATTTAGGTTTTCTTTGGGCTCTAGCGGCGTCTAGAGATTTGGGAGAGAACAATCCTCCTCTCGAATTGAGGATCAAGTGTATCTTGCTATTTTCCGTGTTCCTTTCATCAAATAATACAAATTATCTAATGTTTTTGTAATTTTGTGCGGATTTTGTGAAGAATTCTTGTTGTTTTTAGAAGATTGATAGGAAATACTTGCGATCTACAAGTGTTTCCTATCATAATCATTCACTATTGGTGGATGTATTTGTAGCCAATCTTAGCATTAATACATGTCATTCGGTCAATATGAGTAACATGCATATTCACCTGACCTTCATTTTAGGGTCATCAAACCATACTTGTGCTCAACAAGATTTAAAAAAAATTTGAACTAAATCTCCATTTATCACCTAAACAGTGGACAACAAAAAAAATTTGCCTAAATAATGCATCCAATGTCGTTAGCGCTAGGTTGATGTACACATATGAACTTTTTCTTCTAGAACTTTTTAGCATGATTTTTTATGTCTATTCAAATAAAGATAGAAGCTCCTTTTAAAAATTTGCCCTCTTTAGTTTGGGAATAGTTCAAGCCCTGCAAGTGAGGACTTCATGAGGGGTGCATGACTAGTTAACACAGTTGGGTATCAAGTACTTTGCCATTGTATAGAGAAAAATTAAGGATTGAAAAGATTGTAATTAATTTCTTACTGCCATTGTAATGTGGTGTTCCCACTCTACAACCATATAGTAGCATTGACTACAAGCTCAAGATGGCCATTCCTTCATTTAAGGCTTGCAAACTGCTGATTTATTATATTTAACTGTAAAGTTTATCTTCTAATTCATGTGAATCCCAAAGTAGAAGATAACCAGTTGGTTTATGCCGGCACTGATAGTAATTGTCTAGTGGAAAGGACGCTCTAAGGAGTGCAAAACCTTTGATCCACACATAATTATGGATGACAAAATTTCTTTGTTTAAGTTCTATGCACCTAAGGTCAACTATGTGATATTATCAATATCAAATTGTTGGTATGGAAGTTGATATATAGTAAGCTATGGAGTTCAATTAGCTCATTCTTTTAGAATTGATTGAATGAGATTAACTTTCAAAAGCCCACTAAATTCCTAAGCGAATAGGATGCTCTAAGGTTTCCTTGCCTATAATCAGTGTACAACCAATGAGGTGATTTGCATTACATGGGCCTTGAAAAAAGTCTTGATCCATTTTATTCTTCTATTGGTATGAATGAAATTTCTTATGAAGTTCAATGTTCCATTGAAAATGGTTTTAAAATGGGCTTGTGGATCCATTCTCTTACTTTTTATTCAATCCGTTAACTCATCTAGGGAGAAAGCTCCAATGGGCCTAATGAAAAGCAACATTACTAGTTCATTGAGCCAATTGATGTCCATGTTATAGAACATAGTGTTGAGGACAAAGAAAAACATTATGTTGAGATTGAAGGTGGTGGATATGTTGATGATAAGCTATTCCTCAATGTTTATTATGTTGTTCTTGTTGATGATGATAAGAAAGTATGATAAAATGTGAACTTGAGGTCGAAGAGTTTTTGTTTAGCATGAAAGAGAAATTTGACTCAATATGGATGCACTAATATAGATAAATCCATGATGTCCATAGTTGTAGTATCATTCTTTACAAGTCATTATGGGCGATGAGCCGATGACACATATGTATCTTAGAGAAGATAGATGAGCCGATGACACATATGTATTTTAGAGAAGCTAGTTATATAGTTTATTGTCAGCAAGCTTCAGCTACTTGCTACCCATCTCCTTCATCCTTCAGCTTATTTGGAAGTTATAAAAAATGAACACAAATGATTACAAAGAATTGTCTTGTTCTTATTTCTATTTATAGATGTGGGGAGATGTATTTAGCCCTCCTCTTATTAGGATGTGTGTGCTATTATAACGTTGATTATTGACCCAATGAAAGGGTGAATTTGATCATAATATATTAAGGACATAATAGAATGGGATGTGTTATCTAATATGCTAATTTCTTTGATCCAATTTAATATATATGTCAAGGATATAAGATCATAATTCTTGGTCAAACAAAAATGTTGTTATCAAAACTTATAGAGTGGTGGAGTCATCTTATTAATTCTAAGGAATGATTGCGAGTTTTCAAGAGAGATCAAGAAGTATAATAACGAGTTACTTTACGTGATATAGCTGAAATCAAGTCGAATTAGAGCAAATGATGTTCATTGAGGGCAGCAACTTGTGAACAAGAAATGTATGTTGCATGTTGTGCTTTAAAGGTTGATATATATCAAATGCTTCAAGTTAAAATGTCCAATGATGAAGGACCTGGATATCTTTTCAAGTGCAGTTCCAGAATAAGTTTTGGAGAATACATATATTTAAATGGTAACTAAGAAGTTGTGGGAAAAAACAGTTCAAGTGTTTTTATATTTTGATGGATGCATGATGTGAGTATCTCCTTTGGCTTTAATGAAGATTGATAGCTTTCAAACTATTGTGGAGGCTTTTTGACAATTTGATTCTTGAAAGAAACCTCCAACTAGCATAATTATTTTCCTTGCTTGAAAATAAAAAAGGTACAACACATGCAAAAATCATTATAATCTTATAAAGAAATTTGTTTCAAATATGCCTATTCTCTTATGGTTGATGGTTGAACAACATGTCACAATGGAAAACGTTCAATGAATTTTTTAGTTAATTGTTCAAGGTGAACCTTATGTATAATCTTTCATTAGTCCTTATGTTTGCTAAATCTAAACAATCTTATTTTTCTACTTTTGACATTACATGTTTGTATGTGCTTTTGTTTTGACTATTTTTTTCTTATGTTATTGGGTTATTGATTTATTATCCATAACTTTTTTGATTTGTTTTTTTTTTTTAAGGAGCATTCTTGACATTGTGCACGTCATGTGATGTGCTATGGCTATAAAGGATCCTGGTGTCATAGTGCACGATTTGCTATGGCCAATTATGCTCTTAAGATTGCATCTTCTCACTATCAATAGTTCAACCATTAGGATTTTGTTGGCAGCAATACTTTCAAACTACAGAGCATTCCTGCATTATTGATTAATTTTGTCATTATTTAATTTTATCCCCTCGCATTCATCTGATGCAGTTGAACGGAGTAGCTCCAGTGGAAGATAAGATTAGAGAGAGTCGCCTTAGATGGTTTGGTCACATTAACATTGATGCTGGTTGGAGACCATCATCTGCTCCACGGTCTTATTGGCCTTGTATGTAAATTTGCATACTCTTTTGAGACAATTTCTTTTTTGAAAAATTATATAATTTTGGTTCGACATTTCTAATCAGTCCATGTCATCGAATTAATAATCATTGTATTTTATTGGGATTCAACGTTTTAGCTCCTCCAACTGAGAGCAATGGCTATTTGAGAGTTCGTTGTAATGGTGGTTTAAATCAACAGCGCACTGCGGTATGATATTTTTTTAAATTTATATTTCAATTCAAATTTCTTGCCATTTGATAGGGCATGTAAATTAATTATTTCTCCATCTTGAAATTAGTAGCATTATCATTGGCAGCACAAGCACTTTTTTGTGGTATCAGTATACTTTATTTCTGGCTTTCTTATGGTATCTCTTCAAAGAATATGTTTAGAAACTTCCCCATATAGCATTAGTATTCTAACTAATTTTCTCTTAATTGACATTATTTAAACAACGTTTTGTTCATACTGTGTTGCTTTCTGATATATTATGTCAAGTTGATTTTTTTTTATGGCATGCTATGTCAGAGAGGTTTAATAAATAATATAAACATGGATAGGCCCAGATTGTTTTTCAAAATATGGCATACCGAGACTGACTTACTACATATCGCCATAAAAATTATAACAAATTTGATATTCTTTTAGTCGCGTCAAGGTAAATTTGATTGGTTTCCAAATAATGTTTTTCAAGGTTGCAAACGAAGGTAAAAGTCACTCATCTTACTGAGTTTGAAACGAGTTTCATTTTTTTTTCTTCTGCTGTTCGAATAAAATTTAAACAAATTAAAGAATCAGATGCAAGGCCTAAATTAAGGCCATTGGTAAGTTTAAACTTCAGATGAAAACTTTGTGTTATGCTGAGGCTCAAAACTAGGAAAACTTAAAGAAGGTAGAATTAATTCTGTTGGCAATGGGCAAGTAATGTTTTATGACCTAATTAAAAAAATGCTGCTATACATTTTCCATGATAATTTTGTTGGTATCCATTTTTCTTGTATGTTGGAGATTTAATGTTCAATGAATATTTTCTAGAGAGTGAAAATGAAGGTAAAATTGTGCAATACAGAAATTTTAGAATTAAAATGCATGTCTTGCACCTGTATGCCTTCTTTATTGAGGGGCTGTTTGGTTGGCTGTAAAGTAAATACAATTTAAAGTAAATATAGGCTGTTTGGTTATCTGTAAAGTGAATGCAACGGAACTATTTTTTTCTATTTGGTTGGGTCTTCGGAACGTATAAAAAAAAAGGAACTATTTTTTCTGTCAAAGTGGGTGTATGCATAGTAAAATAAAATCAGTGTATTTTATGAGATTTTAAAAGTTTGTGTCCAGTAACACCTGCTAGAGGGGCAACAAGAAAGTTATGAGCTGGAGGGGCATCGCTAGGGCATTCCCACAAACACTTGGCGTGCAAAAGCCTGTAGCAATGTGGTTTTGGATGGCTGAATTGGGGAATTCTATACACCTACTTACTTCCTTATCATTGACATTCACATTCTTCCCAGATTTTTTGTCCAAACCATCACAATTGCTCAAAGGCAAATCAACATTCCCACACAGAATGTTTCAGTTCAGATCGCAAATATGCATGTTCGGATCGCAAAAAAGCATTGCATTCATTTTACACAGCATTCCTTTTTTCTCAAACCAAGCAGCCCCTCAAATAACTATATTTTAGCGTACAACCTTTTGGATAAAAGGGACACATGTCTTTCCATGCATTCTATAGTTTAATCCTTCAACATCTTGAGCAATAAATTTATTATTTTATCTTTTCTGTTTAGATATGCAATGCCGTTCTTGCAGCACGTATCATGAATGCTACACTCGTGTTGCCTGAGTTGGATACCAATTCTTTTTGGCATGATGAAAGGTACTTCATTACCATTTATGGATTATTTTCTTCACTTCAAATGTTCTGGCTTACATTTTGTATTCAATTTTGTTATCTAGATTTTCTTGAATATACCTTGGAAACACTAACATCATGTTTTTTAAACTAATGTATGGTTTTTTAACCATTTTACACTTTCTGTGCACAAAGTTTTTTTTTGACAAAGCATGAACAAATCACTGGCATTCATTTTTATGTAGAGCAACACTTTGTTTTGGTAACTAATGATTTCTTTAGCATTTCTGATTTTGTATTCTTGTTTGTAGATAACTGAGTTCAAATATTTGTGTTGTAAGTGAAAGTTTTCATTAATGTATCTTATTAGGAAGGCTTATTTTCACAGCACCTAAAGAATCTTTTCTTGCAGTTTGTTTATTGTAATACCTGTCTGGATGTTTCGATATAATACTAATATGGACTTATTTTATAAATAAACCCAGCGGTTTTCCCGGTGTATATGATGTTGAATATTTCATTAATACTTTACGCTATGATGTTCGCATTGTTGCAAAGCTTCCTGAAATCACCTCTTATGGGAAGGCCAAGAAGTTGAAAGCTTTTCAGGTTAACTTTGTTTGGCTCTTTTGTTTTACATTTCAATTCTAGGAGTCCATCCTCAACAAGAAATTTATGTGCAAAAACTCAAATTGTTTTGTAATACATTTGTGTCTGTCTTTTTAACATCCAGATTCGTCCACCAAAAGATGCTCCTCTGAACTGGTATACTACAGTTGCTTTAAAAAAGATGAAGGATCATGGTGCTATTTACCTGACTCCTTTTTCACATCGGCTGGCTGAAGAGATTGATGATCCTGAACTCCAGAGATTAAGATGCAGAGTGAATTATCATGCACTAAGATTTAAGCCACACATTATGAAATTGAGCCATGATATAGTTGATAAACTCCGATCGCAGGGGCATTTCATGTCGATACACCTCCGCTTTGAAATGGATATGCTTGCATTTGCGGGGTATTTTCTGCCATACTAAAATCTTATTTATAGAATTTCTTCCTATTTGTGCAAGTTTAGCGCCATCCATGTGCTTTTTCAGAACATTTCAAGGGCTTCTTATCATTTGTATGAAATATTGAAGTCTAGAATCTTACTTCATCAATGAACCCTCATAACATGAATATTCAAACACGTTCTGTTTTGGACCCCGTGTTCCTCCTGCACATCCACTTTTGAACTCTACTGACTTAGACATATATTGCATTTATGGCCATGTTTTTCTTGAAGACAGGCTTGAGCAGGAGCACATGCCACTGCTTTGTGGCTGCTGCCTCTATTTTTGACGTTTAGTACTAAAGAGCTGCAGCCATAGTTGTGACATTAGGTTGCTTCAATGCCATAGAAAGACCTTGAAAGTATTCTGAGTCAGACGCCATGTGGTCCAGAGAAAAATTGATGTAAAATGAAGTATTTTCATGTAAAGTTAATTGGCTGATGCAAACCATAGTTAATGATAACATGTATAACCACCAATATATGCTTACTTCTTGCATTAGTCTCGTTGCAACATTGTCAACACAGAAATGCCACCAGTAACTGTTATAGACGTAATAATTTTTATTTGCTTAGCCTAAGAAATAAGGAATGCAAGGTGCAAAGCACAGTCACTGGGATCTCCCTAATGTTAATTCTGATGCCAATTTGCAAATATTTTTTTTATTTTTTACATTCGTACCTCAGTATCCAAGATGCATCTGTCACGCTCAATCTCAGTATTTTGGAAACCCAAAGACCAATTTTTTTATATAATTTGGAAGTGAAGTTTATATTAAAATTTTGATGATTGATGTGGGAAGTTTTTAGCAGCAGGTCATTTTACGTTGAAGACATTATTTACTGTACATCATTGTCTAACTTCTTTCCTTAGTTTTGCATTATTTGCAATCTAGGCAGGGGAAATTGCATTATCATCATTTCAATCTTTTGACATATCATTTTTCTTTGAAAAAAACACGATTTCAGGTGCCTGGATATATTTACAATAGAAAAACAAAAGATATTGATGAAATACCGAAAAGAAAATTTTGCAGAAAAGAAGCTTGTTTATCGACAAAGGAGGATAATTGGAAAGTGCCCATTGACTCCAGAAGAGGTAAACTCCTATGTCAATAATCTGTCCATAAATATTTGATCTCTTTGATTTTTAGTCCTAGAGAATATGTTATAAGTACATACCCTTTCCAAGCAAAGGGACTGTATGGTTACACCAGATACTCATTTTGTACTTCATCACCTCATGGTTTCATTACGATGTGCTAGTGTTAATGATAATCATAGTTTTGACTTTCAGTATGCTAACTTGAATTAGTTATGGTCATGTAGACATTTTTTATTTGGTTATTTTGAAGCGGGCATTGGTATTTTCCGTTTTTTAACGGTTTTTTAACATTTTGTATGAAATATTGATATTGACAGAATATGTGATAACTGAGAAGGATTAATGAATGCTAATATTGGAGTGTTGTTAATAAATAATAATTTTCATATATGATAAAGCATTTCTTTTATAATGTTTGTTTTTCTTTTGTCATTATAAGGTTTCTTTGCTGACGTATATGTATATAATATCAGACTTCACCTAGTGATGTCTTTAATAGAAAATAATTGAAATTATATATTTTATATGAAATATTTACTGGAGAGAATAATGTGATGCCTTTAGTAGGCAGTTAATTGTTGAAGATATCAGGTTCACTATAGAGCCAAAAGTTGCTGATTCTCAATATCACTATTTCGCCTTCTCTTTATCTTAACATAACCTTAAAGATATTGGGTAATTTTAAGAGAAAAAGGAACAGGAGCAGCATGGATGTAATGAGCTGCAAATTAATGCATTCTAATATAACATTATCTCCCATCTTTGTGCAGGTGGGCCTCATATTACGTGCCATGGGTTTTGACAACTCTACTCGCATCTACCTTGCTGCTGGTGAGCTTTTTGGTGGGGATCGTTTCATGAAGCCTTTCAAAGCTCTCTTCCCACACCTTGAGAATCATAGTACAGTAATAGGTGCGGAGAAGCTTGAAGATAGCGCTCAGGGACCGGTTGGTGCTGCTGTTGACTATATGGTTTGTCTCCTCTCTGATATTTTCATGCCCACTTATGATGGTCCCAGCAACTTCGCAAACAACCTCTTGGGTCACCGTCTCTACTATGGCTTCCGAACGACGATCCAGCCTGACCGAAAAGCATTGGCTCCCATCTTTATTGACAGGGAAGAGGGTCGTCAAGCAGATTTTGAGGAACTTGTTCGCCAAATCATGTTCAAAACCAAGTTTGGGGGGCCTCATAAACGAGTTCATCCAGAGTCTTTTTACACTAACTCTTGGCCTGAGTGCTTCTGCCAAATGTCGCCTCAGAACCCAGCTGATAGATGCCCTCCTGATAACATGCTAGAAGTTCTGGAAGGCCAGTTGCAAAGTGGAGGGAGCCATGAGGTGGAAATCGGTTAGGGTCCCAACAAGACGGTTTTAGCGGAGTAAGGCTTTGTTTGGGACGGCTTTTTTACTGCTTCTTAAAGTAGCTTTTTAGTACAAAAAATTTAGGCTTCGTTTGGGACGGCTTTCTTACTACTTCTTAAAGCAGTTTTCTAGTACAAGAATTTTAATTTTTATATTGAAAATCTGCTTCAGGAAGCAGAATGAAAGCCGTCCCAAAAGTAGCTTTCTAATTTATACTTCTTAGATGCATGACGTCCTTTAACAAATTGGATGTATATTGAGTTGAATCTTGATTTTTGGGAGATCACTTACTTAAATGATCATTTCTTTTTTGGATATATAGATGATGAGGTTATGTTTGAGCAAAATGGAGATAAGACCTTTATTTTTTTTAATACTTAAATTTGTCTTTTTTTAATCCCCTGAAGATAAAAAGTACTCAAATTAGGGGCAATTTTCATAACTAGTTTAAAATTAGAGGTACATTATTATTCTTGCTCTTATTTTCTTATATTACGATTCTTCTATTATGTAGGGCACATTAATAGCTTATTTGTCGTTCATGATTGTGCTTGACATTACTTTCATTTCTAGTTGCATATACACAAAACTACAGCTATATTCATCATATTTTTTTCAATATTTTTTTATTCAGAGGAGATATTACGCCATCAAGTGTGATAAGTCAAATTTTAAGCGCCTTGCACAATGTCCTATTTTATATACTATTCTCCCCATGTCAGATCGACTAATGGTGGTAAGAGTAATAAGAAAAAAGCAAGTTTGTTAATTCTTTTTTAAGGAAATTTTAAATTTAAAAAATAATAAAGAAGAAGAAAGAAATGTTTAGAAAAAGAAAAATGAATAATGGTAATAAATTATTATTTTGAAATTTAAATTTTATACATGCTTAGAACTTTATGTTGATTTTTACCGTTGTAGTTATTATTTATTTTTTATAAAAATTTTTAATGTCTACAAAATTATTTTTTATATATCAAACTTAAATTTTATTTTCTAGCAAAGCTTTTCGAAAGAATTTTAATGAGTTCCCACAATCAAATTAATCTCAAAATATGTTTTTTTAATTTCAATAAATAAAAAACTTTATGCCTGTTTTTGTTTTTTTAAGTTGGAGCCTAATATATATGTACATATATTATATAATTCTATTATTATATATAAATTGAATAAAAATAAAATTACAAATTTTCATGATTAATTTTTTTTTTTTTGAGAAAATTTGGGCATGGCCCGTATATTAAAAGCATGAAAAATAACAACTATTACAAGTGAGAGAGGAAAGAATTTGTGACAAAAACGCTCCAAACAAATGGGAGCAAGCTCTCAAAGCAACAAAATAAAAAACAACTTGTATTAAAACTGCACTAATAAAAAAAACCTAAAGTCCACAGGTGAAACATTAAAACCATAGAACCTATGGACTCAGAAAAATACCTAAAGCTATACCAATCCAACAATATCCCTGGTTGCCTAAATTAGACCGTCCGAGGGATAACAAAGAGACTGTCATCATCGTCCGGTCTATGACTTTAATTTAGCAACCCAAAAACCTCCAGCACAACCATAAACAAAATGCTCAAACCAGTTACCAGAGAAAAATTCAGCCACCACATACTGCAAGTTATCAAAATCCTTTCAGAGCAATCCCCGAACCAGCTGCAAAAGAAAAAAGCCTCCAACAGCCCTTATAAGCTGCAAAGTAAGGAAGAATCAGCTTTCCATTTTGCCACTTTATCAAACACCGCACTTTTAATGAGAGTCGAGATAGTTGTGCTGCTGTTAAACACGTAACCAAATCTTCTACTATTTCTTTCTTTTCATATGAAATATAAAGAGCAGCTCACAAAAAAAAAGATAGAGATTTTAAAAAAAGCATTGTTACTAATGACTTCCTCTATCCATTCCAAAAGATGCAAAATTGTAGGTCTAAGAAGATTATTAATACCCCATCGCCACCAAGGTTAGAAAGTCGGGTTATTTTGCTGGATAGAGGAGGGAGATGGCATCGATCCCTCTGTACCCGAGATTTCCGGGTTCAATTTCCGGCAAAGGATTCCGCCCCGCGCACATTATCACCGTCGCTTCTGCCCTGCACCTCGGTCATCTCGTCCGTCTCCGTTGCTCAAGCCATTTCCATCTTCTCCTTCGCTGCCCTCTCTCCCAGGTCTACCAAAACATATACCTTTCTTCTCCGCCATTTTCTTCTAGCATACCTCTATAGTAGTGCGCTGTTGACTTTCCGCGGTAGGGGGATATAATACTTGTCTAGTGATTAATATGAATACTGTACAATAGAGATTTAAATCAAGGTTTATAGATGAGAAGATTGGCTCATTTAGTCATTTAGAATGGCTGGGATAGAAATTTTAGTCTGGCATCAAAATTTTCATGGACGGTATGATATGAAGGCTATAAACAAAACTGTGTAATGCTAATCCTGGGGCACATTCTTAGTATGATATGGTACTCCTTGTTGTAGCTGAGCAACAGTTTTGTGCCGTATGAGAAACATGTGAGGTGGGCTTGTTCTGTATATAACAAACAATTCCTTAAGTGAGTTGAAAATATGTTGCATGAATTGTTCTTTCAAGTCGACAAGAACTATATAGTGTTTACAAGTTTTGAAGCCCTTGGATGAATTGATCAATGATTTTTGCTACTTACACATGATTGAAAGAGCTTTGTAAGCCAATGAATTAGCTTGCCTGTGACTTATTTGTAATTATCCTAGAAATGCTTGCCTAGGACTTTGATACATAGCAATACAAGGATTGTGGATGATTTTTGTTTTGATATCTATGAAGTGAATAATCTGGTGTAGATAGAGAATAAGAAGATTTAGAAATTAGTCGAATATGCAACTTAGAGGAAAAGAGGCATGAAATAGAGAGGAAGACAACAGGGAGAAACCCTAAGGTTAGCCTCTAAAGTTGGGAGAAAGGTGGAGGGTCAACCAAAAGGAAGAAAGCTAGAAAAAAAGGCACAGCTATAATGATCTAAATTACATATGTGGATCCTATTTAGAGAATTGGTCTTATTAAAACATGATAAAACTAGCTCTAAACAAATAAAAATCGCCAAACTCATCCTAAATGATAACAAACTTGATATGGATACAAATAAGACTCAATATTGATTATTAGAATGAAAGATTTTGCACTATATCAGTTTTGCTGGTCTGCAATGGACTCCACTTAGGTGAATTGAAATGTTGGTGGAATAACTAAAGTGCATCAACTACATTGCAAAGATAAAGACATCCATCCTAAGACCAATGAGAAATCTATCTTGAAGAAGAGGTGATGAAGGTGAGATCCATCCAAAGAAGGGAGAGATAGGGAAAGAATTCATCATCATCAACAACAATATTGGAAAAATACTATTTGTAGATCTCAAGAACATTTCACAACTATGAAAAAATATCCAGAAGCTTTATAAGTCATTATACAAAAAGACTTTGCTATTTCATCATCAATTTCAACTAACTATATTACTAAAATTGAAACCTAATTACCTAATTATAGAATATACCTGATTGAAAAATAAAAAATTATCCCAACATAGATAAAAAGTACCAGACTAGTCCTAACTACGAAATAAACATGATAGCAATATAAATAAGGGTCAATATTAATAGCTAGAGGGAAATAACTTGTAGAGCTCCATTTATGAAGTTAAAATGTCGCTGGTGGAAGAACCAAAGGGCATCAACTATATTGTTGAGCTGGTGACATGCATCCCTAAGAAGAGAGAACAATGGAAAATTCATCCTGATGAGAGGGTTGGGGTGATGGAGATAGACTATAATAAGAGAGTAATGGTTAATAAATGGTGCAATCACTATATCTTCAGTGGTAGATCCTTGCAATTTGAGTCATGACAACTAGTGTAAATGGCGGGTAGGAGCAGATGGAGTTTGTGCAATTTTGCAGATTGTCCGGTAAGAAGTGTTGCATCTTGTGGTAAAAGTGGATTTCTGTGTTTTTAGTGGCATGTTAATGAAATGGTGTTGTCGACATTTAAGAAGTGTATTTAAAATGGCAATTTGTGTGGCACATCAATATCACTAATGGTAGAGTGATATATTAGTGGCGATGCATCATTACTCACTTTAATGCTATGTTGCAAAGTTTACTGGTTTTGGGGTTCAAGAAGTAATGGTTGTTAAGTGATTATTGGTGAATTATCGATTTCAGTGGTGAACCTAAGGGCAGGGCCAAGCAATCAACATAATAATAGCTGGTGATGATGTCGACAATGTGGTTACAGCCAACGAAATGAACACAAGGACAGCGGCAAAGGAGGTCTTCTTTTATCTAGACCTTTGTTTTTTTTTTTTTCCAAATTTTCTTCTTCTAATCTCTCATCACCAGTGCTTGTATTTTCTCTATAATTTTTTTCTTTTTTTTTTCTTAAGTTCTATTTCTGAATGGAATACTCCATTCTTTTTCCTGTCTTTCTTCCAGTCTTCTTTGTTGTCTTATTTTAGTGGTGAAATAATGGGGTTGATTAAGGGGAAGAAAATAAGTGGATGGGTTTTTTTATGAAGCATGGGAAGACGTGGTTTGGAAGATTAACAATGAAAAAAGCAGGACCTTAAGACTGAAGCTTGCTTGGATGGCAAAATTTAGTGGGATGCAGTGGTATAAATTTGGTTTAACCAAACCAAAAGCTGTGGATATCTGGACATCAACATGAGAACCAAGCTGTAACGATATTTCGCTCAAGAGCATGCTAAAATAATGCAAAAACAAGTCAAAGCAACATTGAATTCAAGTAGCAAGGAATGATATCCCTCTGGGAGAAACAGCTTATATTTACATGGTGAGAGTAATTAGTTTTTTCTAGGGGAAATTCCTTTAATTAGACTAATTATTGATGTTTAAACAAATATGTAGAGCTGAAAAAATGTGTGATATGGATAATCATGGATAATAAAGAAATAACAGAGTAAGGATGAACAGTTACTGACTGACTTTATACAAGATATGTAAATCCTGATTTATGCTTGAAGATTTAAGGAATAGCTTTTTGATCTGGTGTTGTATAGCATGGTTCTCCTTACAGCTTGTAATATCTTATGTAAGAAAGCATGTATTGTTTAGCATCTAGCATTTGATGGTGAAGGTTACACGTATATTTGTTGTTGGTATTCATTCAAACCTGTAAAGACGAACCATAATGGTTTGAAGCTTGTGCACAGCCTTGCTTCCTTAATTTTAACCTTACTGTATGCATACTTAGCATGAATCATGGAGTTAGCTTTGCCTTTGCATCCTTAGTTTTCTAGTAATTCTTGCACCTGTTAATATTAGTGAGCGTTTGTGGTCTTTATTGCTTAAAGGATGCTAAGCTTTTCAGAAAATCTTTTGTTTTAAGAAAGAGGAAGGGAGGGAGGACGTTAGTGCAAATATCAAGAAAATTCATTTGCATAGCTTTCCATATCAATTGCTTTGTCTCATTTTTATGAAAATTTATTTTGCTTTGACAGCCATTTGTTTGATGATATTGTTTCACTCAAGTTATAAACTTCAATGAGCTTTATATGCATATATTTTCATTCTTACTCTTTCTTTTGATATACAGGACTATTGTCATTTATCCGAGCTTCACAAAATTACGGACAGTTGGTGTTGGCGACATTATTCTCTTTTCAAAGCATTGTATGATACATTTTCATCATCGTGCTCATCTTGTTTTTCAGTCTTTAGTGGGAGTGAATCTGGAAACAGAAATGTTGATAAACAGAAGTTTCAGCTTAAGGCTTCCACTGGAAGTCCTTTCAACAAAAGGCCATGGACTAATATTCTTCTTGTTCTCAACATTTTGTAAGTTCCTTTCCTAGCAGTTTTATGAATTCTATTCTTAAGAGGGATGGTTATGTTGCATCTTGTATATTCTAAAGTACTAGTGATGTGATGCAAGCTTGGAGTTACACAAGATTATAAAGAGAATTTACTAAAAGTTTAACCGTTATAAAATTATGCGTCAATTCCAAGTTAGTTACAAGAATTCTCAGTATTCCACTTGCTTAGGCTAAGAGTTGTATGAAGATTAACCAAGACAATTTAATCAAAAAAAAAAAAAGGCAAAGTAATGTAAGAGCTTAACACACATATCCAAAAGTTAATAAGGAGTTGTTCACCTTGGGGATCTACTCTCTTCCCTACGAATCTAGGTTGAGAGGAGGAAGATCGTCCACACTAGAAATGAGGTAGCCACTAGGACGGATGAGCCGAGGAACGTCGTTGTTGGGAAGGTAGTCGGAGGTGGACGTGGCACGGGTGGATGATTGTTGATGGTCCACTCGTAGTCCGAGAATTGATCGTCGATGACGTCCACGAGGGTGGGGAGGATTCGGTTCAAATACTCTTCAACAGTGTCGTCAAAACCAAACCCGACGTCAAAGAACGGTGAACGAACGATGTGGATGTCTCCGTAGACGTCGAACATGAATCCGCTATCAACTTCGGGATCCGCCATGCATCCTTGTTGAGAGATGAAGGAGCAACAACGGACGCAAGGAGAAAAGGAGGGGAGAAGTCGTGTGGTCGGCAAGAAGTCTTGAGGGATTGGCTAGGGTGGGAGAGCAATAGGTAATTCCAGGAAATCTGAAATAATTTCAGATTTTTAGAAGTTTGGTAGAGGATTTAAGTTGAAATTTCAAATCAATCCCATGAGGGAAGGGGGGGCGGCAGTGGAGGAGGATTTGGGGCTGATTTAGTGGTGATTAGGAGTTAATTTAGGAGAGAGAAGAGGCCCATTAAGGGGCCGGCCATATGGGAAGGAGAGAGAGGTTTGAGAATTAAGAAAGTGGGGCCCAAGGTTTAATAACTAATTCATAATCAAATCTGAAGTTTTAATTTCAGATTTGATTATATTTAAGTAACTTTCCAAATTGACATGATATGAGAGGGAAAAGAATTTGAATTTCAAATTAGGCTTTAATCCCTTTAAATGTCTTTCCTAAATAGAGGAATACTAATTAGAAAATTAATTTAATCAAGGAGATTTGAAATTCAAATGGAATTGGATCAAGGGGGAAGCCGGCGGCAAGGTGGGAGGCTGGAGATCGGCGGACTGGAGGCTCACGGGTGGCTGCCAGCCGTAGGAGCTGGGGTCGGCAGAGGGGGCCAGCTGCTGGAGGGAGTGATTGGCTGTCGACCAAAGGCCTGAACGGTCCAATGAGGCCGACGGCAAGGAGAAATGTAGGAAGGAAAAAACAAAAGCTTGGTGAAGGATAAAAATTTGGAGAAATCAGGGAATTGCTAACCTCAAGTACTTCTTCCTCAAGATCTCACAAAGAGGTCGTAGGAATGCCGGAACTCACACAGAGATCCACAAAACTCTCTTCTCAAGAACTCACGAAGAGAACTAGGAAAATGTAGAACTCACAAAGAGATCGATAAGTAGAAATTTTTTTCATTCATCAATCATCCTCATACATAAGAAAATGACCACATATATAGGCCTCAAAATGACAAGGAAACAAAAGACTAAAATGCCCCTTTGGGCTACAATAGCGACTAACTACCCATAAGGGCAAAAACGGAAAAACTGAAATAACATGATTAGTACATAAAATGCTAATACAAAAAATGCATCAAAAGTAAAGACTATCCATCATGGCCATCAATCTTCTGTGTCGCCTCTGATAAACGCGTCGAAACCTCCTGTCGATTTCCCCATCAACTAGGTTGGAAGCAAATAATCTCTCTGCAAATGTAGGGTTGCATAGATTAAGCTCTCATTTTATCTTGCATTAGCAGGAGCTTCATGCGCTGGTACACCTCAAATTTTTCTTGTGATTTGAAATGTCTTTCTTGCTTTTTTGTCTTAGGCTGCAACATGGTTGCAATAGTCTAGCAACAAGAATTTAGCTGCAGGGTTTAATAGTCAAGCCCTCTCATCCTAATGCACTTATGATGCACAGACACGGACACGGCGACACGAATACGACACAATACGGACACGGGACATGTCAGTTATTAAAAATATAGGACACGGACACTGGTTGGACACAGTATTATAATTTTTATATTTAAAAAATAGTGTATAAAAATTAAATAAGTATAATTTTAAAAATAATTTGAAAATAATAAGTCATTTAACTTGATTTTGTGCTTAAAATGATTAATATTAGGATGTCGAGAGTTAGGCGTCAACGTCGTTTATCAGTCACCGAGAGAGGAGATGAAAATACCTTCACTGCCAAAAAGAAATGAAAATGAGAATATTCGATGATTGGGTATTAAGTGCGGACGTTGATTTGGTGTTGTGGATCTGAAATAAGAAATTTAATTTAAATCCCGTCAAATACAAGAAATTATATTTAAAAAAATTCATAAAATATTAAAGATATGCGTGTCGAACACGGGTGTCCAATTTGTATTTAATATTTTTTTAATCGAACACGTTTTCGGCGTGTCCGACACGTGTCGGAGGAGTGTCGGGAGAGTGTCGTGTCGGATACGGTGTCGGACACTGCACACCTCTTTGAGGGGAAGTGTCAGTGCATCATAGTAATGCACGGTTGGTTGCCTACACTCTGTAACATAGAGTATCTTTCTTAAAAATCAGCGCTCTCAGTAAATAAGCATAAATTGTTAACAACATCAGTATATATTTTACATCGCTGAAATCATTTTTTAATATTTCCTCTCTCTCTCTCTCTATATATATATATATATAGATATAGATATGAGAATGAGATTATTAGATTCATGAATTAATTTGTTGCTCGATGACCATGAAAGAAGTAAAGATGGATAAAACTTAAAAAAGGAAAGATTAAGAAAAAGCAAACAAAGAACAACGTGATGCCTGAATATGATGATTGCCTCTCTAGGAAAGGCTTTAGGTCTCACAGAAGATCAATAATCAAAATCATAGAATTGATAATGAATAAAGGTTTCTGTATCCATAATAAGAATTTTACTTATAACATAAAAGTTTATTACATACTTCACAATACTTACAATTATTGATGCTAAAAAGATACTAAATTGATAATACATTGTTGACAAACTACTAACAAACTTTGGCCTAGCATAAACTAGTCCTAAAAAAACAATGAAATGACTAAGGTTTATATTATATAAAATGTCTTAAATATTTGTGAAAAAAATGAAAATATAAAATTTATGTCACATCAATTCTTTGATAGAAAAATACTCTTAACTTAGAGAATGTTAGTTGTAATAGACCTGAAATAAACATAATACCTCCATCAATTATAGATCATCAAGTACTAGATGACATTTTTAATGGTTAGATGTTGATAAGTATTTTGAAGGTGCATTAATGAGCTCATTTTAAAGCGGTGGTGCAAGACCAACACCTTGATTATATTGATGCCTCGAGCAAGATCTAAGCCCTTAAGTATGCTTTTCACCTTCTCTTTTCGTCTTTTATTATTCTATTTTTTTCTTAAAACATTATGATCTTGGTTATTATTCATATGCATCTAGGTGTAGGCATGATACACAATAAAAAAAGTGTGAAAAAAGACATTATTGTTTCCATGAAATAGTAAACTGTTATTTATAAATAATAATTTATTTTGCACAATAACATGCCAAAAAAAAGTGGTAAGATGGGTGGAATTTGAACTTGAAATGATTTGCATTTGTTTTAGGTTTATTATATTCACTTTGTTAATTTAATTTTGGGGTGGGATTGTAGATAATTAGTTATAATATTATTAAGACAGGCTTAAATTTTGAAGTTTTTTCAATTGATTTGTTGGAGGAAATCAAGGAGCAGGTTTAGAGGATAAGATGAATGTTTATTAGGGCTTTGAATTCTAGTTTTAAATTGTATTGGGCTAATTATGTGGAGGCTAGGTACGGGTTTTGTGGAGGGTTGCAAGAGCGGGAGGAGTATGAGATAAAAAGGCTTATGAACAAGGTGGTTTACTGTTAATGCTGAACAATGATTTTGATGTTCACGATAAATAGTGATTTTTCTATTCATGATCAACAATTGTTAATGATAATTAGTGATTTTTTGTTCACAATGAACAACTTTTTTGCTATTTATGGTGAACAATGATGTTGCTATTCAAGGGGAACAATTATTTCTGGAGGACAATGGTTTTATTATTTATGATGGACAATGGCTTTGTTGTTCATGACAAACATTAATTTTGCCATTCATGATGAGCATTATTTAAAATTATACAATTTGAGGTGTGCCTCTATCTGAGACACAGAAGCAAGGCTATGAGGTGTATGCCTCAACTGTACTAGCTAAGGCGTATATCTCAGTCGGAGTTAGGTGCTCCTCAGTACTATTTGAAGGAGGTGTAAGCCTCTAATTAGCATGTTTGGTTCTTTTAAAGTTTAAATTTAATGTTTAAAATATCAAATTAATTTATAAGACCAAAGGTTCTTTTAAACCTAAACCTATTCCCTTAGAAGAAAAAACCTAAAACTAAATTGAGAGCCTTGTACCTCAAAGACACATATCCACACATTACAAGATCCTGCAACTTGACTATGCTACTATGCAACTGCTGCTATTGCTCCAATGTTGATGTTTCTCAATAATCGCTGCTCTTATGCCGGTAGCCCATCATTTTTTCTTGTCTTCTCTACTCTTATTTCTTTCTTTATGAACTGATTTTGTTTTTTTTTTTAATTATTTGTATTTCTTGTTCTCTATTTTAATTAGTTTTTTAGTTTAGGGTTATTTTTAAATGGTTAGAGGTCATGAAAAGAGTTAAGTGGAAAATAAAAAAGATTTGGCATGGAAGTATGGTGGTCAAGTACAAATTTCAAGGCATGATAAGAATTTCATTTATCTAAAAGGCAACTATTATGATAAGGTACTTAAAAGAGGTGCAACAAGAGTGAAAGAACATCTTTTTGGTTCTCATAAGAACATTATACCATATACAATTGTACTTAAAGTAAAAGAAGAGATTCTTGTTTATTTGAATAAAGTGATTGTGTCAAAATATATAGCACAATAACAATTTAATGATAGACTTGGTAGTGGCTTATATTATGGTAGTGGGTGTAGAGGCAAAAAATTGTTCTTTTCCTTGGCCAAAAAATCTTTAATTAAGATGTTAGGAGACCTATAGATTAATATATGATAAATGTGGAGGATGACATAAAATGCTAGAGGGGCTTGGAAGCGTGATTGTACAAATTTGGCAGATTTTTCTTTGAGAATGCAATTTCATTTAATGTTGCAATTTCACCATTCTATTTCAATATGATTCATTCAATAGGTTCATATCATGGAGTCTTTAAATCTTCTTCCATGTATGAACTTTAGTCCTTGGATATTGAAGGAAAAACTTATGCCACTAAAAGCTTATTGTGGATCAAGAGAACATGGTTACAAATCAGAGTTGAAAATTATGTTGGATGTTTGGTTGGATATTAAAAAAAAAGAATTTGATCAATTTTCTTATAAACAATCCCTTCAGAATTATCTTTTTGAAGTCTATTGAAGTATTAGATTAGGTGACTTATTTAGCGTATGTTTTCAAATTTATTGGAGTTCTAAAGGAGATTGAAGAGCATTTAGTAGTCCAAGTTATTACTAACAATGCAAGTGTTCAAGAGGCAGCATGGATTAGTGGAGAAGAAAATATATATTTTTGTTAGACTACTTGCGCTACATATTGGATTGATTTTTTTTAAAAAAACTTAAAGGGTTACTTAAAAATAAGAATGCTTTGACTAAAGACAAGAAGATTAGCTAGTTCATTTAATCATAGTTGATTTTTAGCCTTGATGAGGATATTTTTCATGAGAGAACTTATAAGACTGGTAGTGACGTAAAACATACATGCGATAAGGGTTACTTTGGATTTTAACAATTGATATTGAACATGAACTTTGCTAGCTAAGAACTTATATTTCACCCAAGTCAATTTTTTAGAATTTTTGTTAAAAGATTAAGTGATGGCAAGCGGTTACAAAGAGATTAGCAAGACAATCGTAATAACAACGAAAACAAAATAGTAATACTTAATAGCAATAAAACAAGAATCCACTGCGTAACATCAAGAAATAGTCACCATGAGCTCCTTCTCACTCGCTCTCGAGGTTGGGTTCAGCGAAGGAACTGTAGAAGCAATCCCAATGATGCCACCACAAGACAAGTGGCGCGTAGGGCCTTGTTTGCCGGAGAAGTAGCCGGAGGAGAAGAGCTCGTTGATCGGCTGACGAGAAGCCAATGCTCTTTGGGTTGTTGATAGTTAGTCGTCTCGGCGAGGCAGTAGAGGATGCGGTTGACGTAGCTCTCCACGGAATCTTCGTATTCCCAATCCAGATCGTAGAAAGGGGAAAGTAGGATATCGATTTCTCCTTGTGCGTTGTAGGCAAAACCGTGGTCGACCTCAGGGTCGGCCATACACAAATTATGTAAGGGAGGAATGAGCTTGTCTTCTTCTCTTGGTTTCAAGTTTCATGAGTGAACTAGGGTTTCCCAAGGGAGGAGTTGCAGAGGGGGCCAAGGGGGAGGGGGGGGGGGCAATTTGGATGAGAGAGGCTTGGGTTAGTTTAGAGAGGGGGAGGGAAAGTCTTAACCAAATATGAAACTAATTTTTCAGATTCTAAGTAGATTTGGAGGGACTTAATTTGAATTAAAATTAAAGTAAGATTGGGAGCCTCAATAGGAAGTAATGGGGAAAGCTCATTAAGGGGGGAGGGCATTATGTGAGGGAGGGAGATTTGGGAAAAATTATAAGAGCTTCC